CAAGGGATAACTCAACGCAATAAACGTTATTCTCTACAGTTTCTTTGTCCTGTGTCCCATGTTGGCCACGCTGAGGTGTTCCTGTAGCGACTTAGCTGCATCGAAACGGCCACGGCGAATTGTCCCTGTGCGACATCGTGTGGTGAAATGGCCATGATGATTTGGCCACAGTAAATTGTCCCCATTTTGTGGCTGTACACCATCAAAGAGGACGCCAGCCAGAGCATGGAAAAATTCGAAGAAGTAGTGCAAGATCAGAAGATGTGAAGAGACTTGGCCCATAGAATCACCAAGAGCCGAACACAACTGAGTGCTCCAACAATAGCAATAGCAGTTCCACTTATATACCGCTTCATAGGGCTTTCAGCCCTCTCTAAGCGGTTTACAGAGTCAGCATATCGCCCCCACAGTCTGGGTCCTCATTTTACCCACCTCGGAAGGATGGAAGGTTGAGTCAACCTTTGAGCCGGTGAGATTTGAACCGCCGAACTGCAGTTAGCAGTCAGCTGAAGTGGCCTGCAGTACTGCACTCTAACCACTGCGACACCTCGGCTCTTGCAACCCTCCAAAAGGATGCAAATGACCAGCTGTCTGCAAGGAATATAAATCCTTCTATTCCCCACCATCCTGTCAGAGCTGAAGGAGCTTCTTGGATGAGAAGCAAAACGTCTTCAAATGAAAAAACAAGAAAGTCCAGTTGCCTCTTGAAAAAATACCTTCGGGATAAAACTAAATGGATAACATCATCAACAACAATGTTATAACAGGGCTGGGCATTCGCTTTTTCTGTCAATATCCTCTGGAATAATCTGCTTGGCCTGGGCACGGCCAGGCACCCAAGTGGGATCAGCCTATTCCCCCTCCCTTTGGCTGACCTGCTTTCTCTCCTTCCTCAGCCAGCTGCTAGCTAAGGAGTAAATTACTTACAATTCTACAAATGGTTTTTGGAATTAAATCCAGGGGCTGCTTGTCACACCTAAGCTTTTAGCTCTACATTAGAAGCAGGAAAAATAAGATTCTTTCCTGTTTGGGAGGAGAGAAAAAAACATTAGGGCTGATGGACTATACATTTAATAATTGGGTTGATTAAATGATAGCTGGATTAGAGCCAGATAATAGCCCCGGAAAGACTTAAGAGGATGGGCTGTAATGTTCCGTGTTGGGAGCATATGGTCTGCAAAATGGAAATGCATCCTAGCTCAATCCTTGGCATCAATTCAATTTAAAGGATCAGGTTGCAAGTGATTGCAAACCCTTCCTTTGTCTGAAGCCCTAGAGAATTGCAGAAATTGTCAGAAAAGACGACACTGTAATATATGGAGAAATAGCGTGACTAAGCCTGTGTTTAGATATGCGACAAAACATTTTGAATCAAATCATATTAAAGTCATACCTCTACCCACGGCAATAGTTCAGCAGTTCCCCTGTCACAAACTCATTTATTTATTAAACGGGAGGCAGAACCAGCCAAAGAGAAGGCACATTAAGCCTATTTTGTTTTGGCATTAAGCCAGCAGGGTTGTGAAGGTTAAAATTCTGGCCTTAAACTTGCTGCAACAAACCCAAAGCTAATTAGATGACTTCAGGGGGGGGGGGAAAAACGAGGCAGAGAAAGCTCTGAGCTCCCTGACAAAAAGTAGAATTCAAATGTGAATCGTGTAACTGCCTCTCACATTACAACAATTAACAGTGGCAAAAGTTAGACCAAAAGATTGCTTACCTTTAGACTAAACCATTTTGATAGCAACTTTTTCCAAGGAGACATCTTAGGGCTATCAGTCAAAAAGCACCACATACATTTCTATATCAGTATGGTCAGCTGCACAGTTAGCCTGATGTTTAGGCTGGATTTGGCATTTTTGTCCATCTAGCGCAGTGGTAGTTAACCTGGTCCCTACCACCCACTAGTGGGCGTTCCAGCTTTCATGGTGGGCAGTAGGGGTTTGCTGTAACTCTGCTTTATAAATTTTATAAAGTAAATTTACTTCCCTACTTTATAAATCACCATTACTGTGGAACCGGTGGGCAGTTAGAAAATTTTACTACTAACAGAGATACAAAAATGGACAGTAGGTATAAAAAGGTTGACTACCCCTGATCTAGCGTGTCCTTCCCAACAATAGCACTTAGACTTATATACCACTTCAGAGCGCTTTACAGCCCTCTCTAAGCAATTTACAGAGTCAGCCTACTGCCCCCAACAATCTGGGTCCTATTTTACCCAACTCGGAAGGATGGAAGGCCGAGTCAACCTTGAGCCTGGTGAGATTCGATCTGCCAAATTGCTGGCAGCTGGTGATCAGCAGAAGTAGCGCCTGCAGTACTGCACTCTTACCACTGTGCCATCACGGCTGGGATAGGCAATGTTTGATGGTCTTAAAGGTATCACCTGTTCCAAGTAAAGTGGCCTTTTGCAGTTGATTGATGGGGATTTTGTCATTGTTGATGGTGGTCAAATGGTGTCCAGTTGTTTTCTGAATTGCACTCAAGATGCTTATTAACTGTTGGTACTATCTTTGCTTTTTTTTTGTTACAGTCATTCTATACTGGCGAATACCTGTAGCTCAGGTGTAGGATGAGGGTGAAGGTTCATTTGTGGATTGGTTTTTGAACATTTCATTACCAGGATAGGTAACATCTTCAGCAGAGTTTAGGGGATGTCTATGTCAATGTTCTTCTGTTTATAAAGACTTTAGGGGGCAAGTGAGGGTCTCACTTGATACACTCACAACTGAAGCCCTTATAAACATAAAAACACCAACACTGACACTCCTAAACTCCACTGAAGATGTTAGCTGTCCTGGTAATGAAATGTTTGGAAACCAACCCACAAGCTCCGAGAACGAACCTTCATCTTCAGGTCTTTGTATTCTGTGATTTAATCCAGTTCATTCTCTTCTGCTGCCTTCTCCAGATACTACCATGTCCACGATCGGAATTCTCTAAATGTCAGATTTCATCCAAGAGCCAGTTTGGCCTAGCGGTTAAGGCACCCGGATAAAAAGTGGGAGACCCTTGGTTCAAGTCCCACCTTAGCCATGAAAGCCAACTAGGTGACTTTGGGACCCAGTCATTCTCAGACCAACACAGCTCACAGGGTGGTTGTTGTTGTTGTGAGGAAAATAGGAAGAAGGTGTTGGATATTTTCACCGCCTTGAGTTATTTGTCAAATGATAAAGGAGGGATAAATAAAATGAAATAAATGAAATACAAACACCGACCTCAAGCATCAGAAGTAGTGTGCGTGTGATCCTCCATATCCTACTAAACTATCAACGTCCCAGCTTTAACTAGCTAGGGCTAATGAAAATTGAAATGAGGGAGTTTTCTCTCCTCTCATACAGAAGAAGAAAACTACTTGTAACAATAGCCACACTGCAAAGTAGTTTTAGCAGCAGGAGACAGGGCAGGGTGGACAGAAGATTGAATTCAAGTATCCAGTGATGGAATTTGCTACGAAGGTTCTCTTGTTTAGCTTATATCACGGGTGGCTTTGTTTGGTTTGAGGCCTTTGAATCAGTATTGATTCCTAGCAAATATAGAGCAGTTCATACATTTTCTTGACATCTTTGGAACGGCTTGCCATTGCATCCTTCCTAAGGCTGAGAGAAAGCGACTGGTTCAAAGTCAGCCAGCTGACTTAGTGTCTAAGACGGGACTAAAATTTACAGTCTCCCTGTTTCTTGCCTTAATCGCACCACCAAATGGACTCTCTATGCCACAATGGCTTGCATAAATCAAATGGAATGGTGGGGAAATTGTAGACAATCCTGCTTTTTCTTTGGAGGAATAGATACATTAACTAATCATTAAGAGAATGGGAATCTGTTTTAAATGTCACAGGTGTGATAAATTTTAAATTTTAAGGATTCTTTTTTACTACATGTAGGTTTCCTTTCGTTGCCATGTACATTGTTTTGCCTGCGGTAAAGACAGTAGGTGTAGAATTTCATATAACAATTTCAAATAATAATTTTGTTATTTTGCAGTGAGAGTTGTAGTTTTTTTCTGGAACAAGTAGCAATAAGACGAAACTCGGGCAAGGAAGCAAACTTGTAAGAACCGAGTGCTCATTGTAAACCTTCTCCTCAAAAATAGGTCATCGTGCAGATAGTGGATTTGGAGGGGGGGGAAACTCCTCCTATAAGTTACATCAAGCCTGTAGTCTTATTTTTTTCAGGGAAGCATTTTGAGATCTCAGAATGGGCCAATCAACTGTTTAACTGGCAGGTACAGCAAATTGGTGAAGGATTATCATAGGTCAAAACAGGAGCCTACTTCTAGATTAGGTTCTGCTCAAATGACATGTATAATTACAGTAAACAGTCTTTAAGAGTTCTGTGGAATTAGGTGGCGCTTCCAGCTTCATTTCTCTTAAAGGAATGCTGTTCAGTTTTGCAGATACTTCTTTAGAAATCCTTTCAAGTAACTGCATATTCTGAGATCATGGAAAAATACTCATGCGATGCGGGCCATTGTGTGCAAGTCATAGTTGATTGCGCAAAGGACTGTTCACATGTCTTCCAGCACTTCTTGTCACTTCTTCATGGATTTTCAGGGAGCGCAGTATGAGTCCAGAATAACACAGCAAGAGACTCAGAAGAAACCCTGCCCTAGCTTGCAACTCTGCTACACTTTTACAGCTGCTCTCTACTTTCTGGAAGCAACTGTTGTCCAGGGTGTGAATATGGGATTTATGCAAAATCTGCAGTGTTTTGTGGGAAAGAATAATATGGTCACGGCTCCAGCATTTTCACCTGTGAAATGGGGTGGGGGGGAACTGGATTTTAATTGCTGTGTTCTGTACATTTCTTCCTCTGGCCCTCTTACTGAAATGTTTTCCTGCACCCGCCGGGAATGACTTCTAGCAAATGGCATGATATTGCCTCTTGGTAGGTCCTTGATTTTAAATAGCAACAGAGCAGCGCAAAGCAAAAGAAACTAGCAGCTGCGAATAATAATTAAAGGGCCACATGATAAGACTTTTATTTATTTATTTATGGTAACTGACCAGCTTACATAAGACAACAACTGAAGTAGTAAACAAGCCAAGCACGGATTGAGTTTGAGCGCTAACGCTGCATCTGATTTGGCTGCTGCTGATCAGAGAGCTGCTCTTTAACTGATGTAGCTTTCCCCCCCCCCTTTTGTGATGGTGGCTGTGGTCCAGATGTGCAAAGGTGTTTCTGAGCGCCACTGAAAATGCAATGCCCATGTTCACATCTCTATGTATTGAAATGCAAGCTCATTATCATCAGGCATGTGCTCCGGCATCCCTTATTTTCATAGCATGTCTTTTCCCAGATGATTCCTTCTATTCCGATAAAGGGATTTGCTTCCTCAATTAGATTTGAATTATCACAGGATAAGTCAGTGTCTTTTGATTCGCTTTCTCCCAAGCATCCTCTTTCTTCTGCAGGTCCAGCTGTCTTTGTTGCCATATTGTAAATGGACAAATCAGCAGTATTTATATTGCAGGTATATTTGTTTTACGGCAGGGGTGTCCAACCTTGGCAACTTTAAGACGGGTAAACTTCAACTCCCAGAATTCCCCAGCCAGCCCACAACTTGTTGAAGTCTACCGGTTTTAAAGTTGCTAAGGTTGGATACTCCTATAATAGGGAGTAGAATGGAAGACAAACTCATTTAACCAGGAACCTCTGTGATTTCTTTGCCCTTGGTACCTGTGCCAAAGTGGCTTTTATATCTAAACTACTATGGCAACCATATTCTGCTGGCTGAAAATGCTTTCTCCGTGTGGTTGGGCAGAATGTTGAGTTCATTCATACTGATTTCTACCTGAGGGGTTAAAGAGGGAGAAACCAGGGCTACCAATGCACAACTGCCTGCTTTGAAGAAATTCCACGTTGTTTTGCAAAGACACTCGAAGCGCGCTTCTTGATGACGTACATTCTGTATCATTTGATAAAGCAAGAATTCTTCCACACGCTGCTAGCACTGCAGAGCATAAATATTATCTGCCACTGGCCTAGTCAAGCCTTACTGGTTTACTTTAACCATTATGCAATTTGTTTCACTTCTTTTTAAAGATTTTCTGGATTTTAAATTTTTTTACAAGTCATTTCTATTTCCTGACTTAGAACAAAAGCTAAGGCAATTTTAAAAAAACTTTTCATGTGTAATGATATCCCTAAAACAAGAAACATCTATTTTAAATAGTCTAAGAGGCATTTAGCAGAGAAAGATTAGGACATTTTAGTATTTTTTCAAAGTGAAGGATGGTAAATGAAAACAATTCTTTTAGTCTCTACTAATTACCTATTGAGGGCAGATGAAAACTAAATTGAATTACTTACTATTGAATTATCTATAAATTTTCCTTGTTGATCAATAAGAATAATACTTGCTTGAATTATCACTCCAAATTTATAAAGTAAAGAAATATCTGGCCTTTAACACAACGCTAAATGAACAGAGCCGTTTGAAATTATTTATAGTAAGAAAAGGTCACCAATTTAATCATGTACGTTAAGCAGGCAAGCAATTTGTAAACATTCAAAAGCGGCAGCATCCATGTTACAAACATAAGGGAAACAAAAATCAAGATTGTTTTAACGATTCCCCAACCCTTCTTTGCCATCCCAAAATTTTGGAAGTGATGTTTAAAAATACTACAAACACCAAAGGAGATTCTACCGGGCTTAACAGTCCTTTCTTACAAAAAAGAAAAAAGTTCCAAATTTTCAACACGACATTTTATTAGTGTGCTCTGTTTAAATCCCATTAGCAAAGGGAATGCTTGTATCTTGATTCAATGCTTCTTTCACTTCTGAGGACAATGTATCAAAAAGATGATCTTCTACAATTAGTCCACTTTTCCTGAGAAGCCGACACTGACCCAAAGTAGCTGGTAGACGATCTAAACAGTTCCCCTTCAGCTCTAAGTTAGTTAGTTGCAACAGCTGGCCAATTTTTTCTGGAATTGAGGTGATGCAATTTTGTCCCAAACTCAAAGTTCTCAACTTGGAGCACTTAAACAGTTGTTTTGGCAAAACTTCCACTTTATTTCCTGTGATATGCAAGTGCTGGAGATTTTGAAGCAACCCTATTTCCACAGGAATCACCGCGATGGAGTTGTAGCTTACATCCAAGCATCTGAGTTTTTGTAAACTGAATACTGCAACAGGTAAGGATTCGAGTTTATTATTGGAGAGATAAAGCGACTCCAAGTTTTTAACATGGGTAATGGAAGAAGGAATGTTAACTATTTTATTGTGCCACAATTTCAGACAAGTTAGTCTTTTTAAATGTTGGAAGCTGATGACTTCTTCAATTGTGCGTATACTGTTTGACTTTAGGTCTAGTTCCTGCAAGTTAGTGAGACTAAAAATGGCATGGGGAATACGTTCCAGTTCACAGTTCTGCAGCTCTAATTCTGCTACATTCATCATTTTCTTAAGGCTATTCAGTACAAAAAGCTTGGTACCATCATTGTGAATGACCAGCTTGGTTAGATGTGGTGCTACATCTGTGATGTTAGATGGAATTTTGGTCAAATTGCTTTTCACATAGAGAATCTTAAGGTGCCTTAATTCTCTAAGCGATTCAAGTCCTATCATTTTATTGTTTTCAGAATTCAAGTTGCCTACCAAATACAACTCTCGGAGATTTTTAAGTAAGTATACCCAAGCTGGTATCTCTGCAACATCAGTAAATTTCACATGCAGGCATCTCAGGTGGTCCCGAAGAAAACTGAAGGCTGTCTGCTCCACCTTGGCAGGGCAATGATAGAGATGTAGCTCTTGAAGGTTAGTCATCTGGGATATTTTAGCAGGGATTTTTGCTTCAGGAATCAGCTCAAGCTTTAACACATCTAAATCTGTCAAGTCAAAAACCGCATCCGGGACTCCCGATAGCATGAAAAGATGTAATTCTTGCTTATCCTGAGCATTGCGAGAAACGTGTTGCCTCAATTTCTCAAAAGTCCATTCGTGGTTCAAACTTATTTCCCTCAGTTTATTTTCACTGACCTCTGACAGAAATACACCAAACCTCTTGGAGTATAGCTGATCGTACTGGTCAACCATGTGCAAGAGAAAAGCAAAATCATTTTTAACATCTGGAATATCGCTGAAACTGCTCTCCTCTCTAACTTTTTCAAAAGAGTACTCCTTGAGGGGTAACCGAAACAACCAGAAGAGAGTGTACAGACAGACAAAACCATAGACACAGATGAGAGAAATATAACTAATAAGCAACTTTTTTAACATGTAAGCCATATTGTGGGTGCATTCAAATTCTTGGTAGCCAGTCAGATGTTCCACTTTGGGCATGCAAATATGCTCAAAGCTGATTTCATTGACAAAATTTGCTGTGTAGCAGAGAATAAATATGAATTTTACAGTTTTGATGACAGTCTGAACAACGTAGAGTTTATAAATCAAATCGCTGTCCTCCACGTGGGCCCGGAATTTCCGTACTTTTTCAAAGAGTGCTTTGGCTTGCTCTCCATCTTTTTTGTCCAAAATGGTCATACCCGGGACTTCAATAACTGGCTTTTCTGCTGAAAACTTGAAACCAGTCTTGTTTATCATGGGGGTACTGGCATTTGGACTTCCTTCATCACTACTAGTTGAGACATGCTTTGGCAGGGATTGGGCTCCAGTTAGTCTCTGTTTATTCTCCTCAGAGTCCTCACATGCCGTTTCAGACAACGCTTTTGTAGTCCAAGGGGATTCAAAGCATTTTCCTAAAATAGAGACAAAATGCTCAATTTTTGAGCAGGTTTTGGGGTATTTAAACCAAAAATTGCTACTGACCATCAAAATAATTGTGTGTATAAGAGCTAGGTAGGGAAAGTACTTTGAATACCAAGGAAGAGCCACATGATAACACATCTGGTTAATGAAAACATATTGCTGATAATCCAAGTTAGTCTTACGGCCCAGGAAATCTTTCTGTTCCTTCTTTGCTTCCTGACTTGCAGCAGTTGAGTGTAATGGGGGATAGTCAGTTGTACGTACATCAGGCGTAGTGACAGGTGTCGTGTCAAGAGATACAGCCATGGATGCCTGTTTGTCTTTGTCCTGAATAGTTTCGGACTCTGGCATATTTGTAGCTTTGGCACTTCCCAAGGAGCTGGGTTGCATTTTCGCACTTACAGCAGACTGTAACACAGGCAAACAAACCACCTGATCTTTGGTCAACTGCATGGTTCCAGCAAAGATGGCAACCATTAGCATTACAACTGCCAGATAATCCATAAATACATCCCACCATGGTTTCAGAATTCGGTAAGTTGGCTGTATGTCATTCAGAGATGCAACTTCTGCAAGGGTAAACATTCCTGTAACAAAACAGAAATTCCCGTTATTCACTGCTGAGAAGCACAATAATAATTTATGCATTTCTTTATTTTTAAATTCTATTTTTCCTCCTTATTTTAATTTCAATTTTATCTCTTATAAATGGTGGACAGCAGTCCACCGTTTAAAATATAAACGGTGGACAATAGCCACTATTAAATATAAAACAAAATATATTTTAAGGTCTCTCAAGCTGTATTGACAAAAAAATTAAGACTATGGCACTAAAATATGTTCCTTGAATGTATTTTAACATTTTAGTAGATGTTTTAGGGTTACCATCTTTATTTAATAGTTTAGGACAGATATGAAAGAAAATAATACAGAGCAAATGAGAATCTTCAATGAGAATCAATCTAATAGTAATGGGTGGGTTACACAATAATAATCTCTTATAAATTATAACCATTAATAGTATTATTACATCAGAGCAGTAGTCCATTAAAAAGGGACAGTAAGCAGTACATACGTGGTTTAATTTTTCCAACTTCATGTATACTTATCCATTCCAATTTGGATATATTGCTATATTCCTGTTTCCAAACACTGAACATTTCTTATGGTAAGGAAAAACCAATCTAATGTAATGGACAGGCGATGCTTGAATGCTATTAAATAATTAGCAGATGTAAATCCTCCCTTTAATCTTTTCCCATAAGGTAGGCATTATACTCAATGTTTTATGGTCTATCCAATAACCTGCAGGCTGATTTTAGGATTGATTGTCTCAAAACCAAAACAATCAAAGTTTGCTTTGAACTGCCAAAGAAATTATGTTTCTTTGGAATACTGGAAGGCCTAGAAGCAGGAGGGCAGAATTAATGTAATTCAGCATATTTTTCTGTGTGAGTTAAACACATCTTTACTCCAGTCCACTGAAATAAAAGAGAATCAAAATGTTTTCATGATCATGAACTTGAATGACGTAACTGCCCTGTCCATGTTTAGCTCAATCCTAAATCGTTTAATGAAAAAAACAATTCCCTAAATTCAGTGTGAGTTTATTTCCAAATAAGCAGGAGACAATTGGAGTCTCGATGTCTTCTGAGTTGCAACTATGATATACCGGTAAATATGAAACACAAGTTCTGAAAATGCCAATTATCAGAAATTAGCCACTTGATACAATCAAATCTTTGCAATAATGTAGGCTAACCTAATCATGACCTTACAAGAAATTCATTAAAACCAGCCTCGCTAGCAGTTTAAGAGCTCTAGACAATCCAAGAAAGAAGCATAATGTAATTTAGTTATTCTTTGTAAAGCCTTCAAGTAATAATGCTCATAAACAGGTTTTGCTTGCTCGCCCATTGCTTGCCTCCAGCTGTGCAGCCCGGTTCCTAACAGGCCACTGACCAATACAGGTCCATGGCCTAGAGGTTGGGTCCCCTGCTACAATTAATAAATCAGAATGTAGCATTTTACTACTTGCTGGTTTACAACAGTGTAAATAAAAAAAACATGCCAAAAACCACATGTCATATAGGCAGAACTGATAAAAGTTGGGAAGGTCACTAATCATAAGCCAGCATTCTCCAAATCATACACATACCTGACTTTTACATGCGGTAGGTGAAACTAGGGAAAAATTAAAGGTATACAGTTATTTTTCATGTTTACTGCCTAAATAACCATCAGTTTTAAGGCTGCAATATTATTGAACCTAGTGTAAATGGGTAAGTATAGTTAAGACTTAATTGTTAATGCTGTAATAATGCAAAACTTTGAAGCCAAGAGGAAAAAACTAAAAATAATTATTTCATTATTCAAATTAGATATATTTACACTTGTGGATTTTAAGCACAATGAATTCAATTTACTATGGACTGCTGTTGGAAGAAATGTCCTTCTGGGTTCGGCTCCAAGTGGGGAAAAAGACACTGGAGACATGGAGGCTGCTGGGAAAGATGGTTTTAATGGTGGACAGGACCACATGGCTTGAGTCCTGAACAGAAAAGGTGATCACATGCTTCAATGTTGGTGGAGAAGAGAAGAGAACGGAGGCTGAGATGCTGAAAGTCCCTGGTTTTATGCCCTCTCTGGCCTTTGATCTTCTTCAGCTTGTATTCTGATTGGTTGTCAAATGCCCATGGGGCCATGCAGGGGCAACTCTCTAGGCTGCGTTTTGAATCCAGGTTTGGTTGAGTTCACAGATGCCAGGTGGC